GATGATCCCTTCAGGACCAGTGGTGTGAGTGGCGATACTGGGAGGGCAGAGGGAGGGTAGGTTTGAAAGGGGGAATGTATTACAAGGACCTACATGTGACCTCCTCCCTGGGGGATGAACAACAGAAAAGTGGGTGAAGGGAGTCTTTGGACAGGGCAAGATATGACAAAATAATAATTTATAAATTATCAAGGGCTCATGAGGGAGGGGGTGGAAAGGGAGGGGAAAAATGAGGACCTAATGCCAGGGGCTTAAGTGGAGAGCAAACGTTTTGAGAATGATGAGAGTAATGAATGTACAAATGTGCTTTACACAATTGATGTATGTATGGATTGTGATAGGAGTTGTATGAGCCCCTAATAAAACAATTTTAAAAATACAAAACACACACACACACCAATTGTACGACTGGCCCAGGCCCGAGCGGCGCTCTGTTCTGTTGGCCTTGGGTTGCTGTGGGTCGCTGGGGCTCTGGCATTGTGCTTGGGCCTGTGACAGGGACATGGCCGTGTGCTAGATGGAGAGGCTCCAGGGTTGGTTCAGGGCCCTCCCCTAGGCAGTCAGGGTTCAAGACCACAGACCCCAGGACAGTGACCTCCATCAAGGACACCCCCAGGCAAGCCCCTAAGGCAGACCTCCCCTCTCTGGGCTGGCAGCAGGTGGGGGGATGCCCTGCCCCTGGCAGGACTGCTCTGAAACAGGAGTCCTTGTTCCTCAACTGCCCTTGCCCGAGGAGGACAGGCTGCTGCCTTCCAGCGGCTGGGATGCTCCCAGACCAAGACAGACTAGGAAGAAAGGCCTGGAGACCAGCGGCTCAACTGACTGTGGGGCTGGCCCAGGCCCAGGCCCAGGCCGTTTGCAGGGTCACACCGCCCACAGCGAGGGGTCTGAGGACATGATGGGGGAGAGGGGGATGGGCACGGCGTTGGCCCTATGCAGCTCAGACCCAGAGGCACAGCTGCCTGGAAACGGAGAAGGGGTGCGCCGTGGCTGTCCCAGACGCAAAGCACGTGTGCTCAAGCACCCAGCCACCAGCCGCCCGCTGCGGGGAGGCCGCTCCAGGCAGAGCCTGCCCCGGGAGGGGAGCGGATGGCAGTGGATGGCGCGGAGGGGGGTCTCAGCGGCCACCGCAGCGCTGACCGCTCAATGGACTGGAGCAGAGCTGTTTAATCTCTGATGGGTCATAATGACTCCCGGGCGTCTTTTTATTATCTTCTGAACTCCTGCCCACGTCTTAAATGATGAAGCAAGTCCCTCCGACTGGTTCCTGCCCTGGGGCTGACCGTAATAAACCTGAGAATTCCGGGGAGTTTGAGGGAAGCCTCCAGAAGTCCCGTTCCCTCCGTTTCCGCGCGCCCCTCCCCTTCCTCCTCCCCGCACCCCACTCCCTGTCAGCTTGGCCAAGTGCGGGTCCCTGGTCATGGAGGTGCTGCCTTGAAGGTGTCACTCACGGGGGCACCTGACTTGAGGGACAGGATATTGTCTTCGGGTGACCAGTAGAAGGCCTCCTGCAGAAACAGAACTAGGCCTTGATGGGGCTTCCCTCCTGCTGCCCTAGGCCCGCCCCCTGAGAGAATTTCACTCTGCTGTGGGTGGGAGGCTGGGTGGGTCAGAGAAGCACGAGGCTAGATGGGTGATGGATTAGGTTAGAATGGATTGGTGGATGAAGGCATAGGAATAGGGCATTCAATAGGGAGCCGGGCAGGTCCACGACCGCGGGTGGTGGTCGAAACGGTGGATTAGATAGGTAGGGAGACAGTCTGGTAGCTAGGGGCTTGAAAAGCAGGGAGCCCCCCGTAGAGGCTCCCTGGGGAAGACCTGGGGAGGACAATGCCATGGTCCCAAGCCGCTCGCAGCCCAATGGCAGAATTTAGCCGAAGCCCTCCCACCCTCACCTGGCCAGCACCCTGTTCTGCCCCCTCAGCTGGGTCCACACGCAGAAGGCGCCCTGGAGGCTTCCTGGAGGCGGCGGCCTCTCCGCTGGGCCTGGGAGTGGAGGCCCAGTGAGGTTCCTGCAGGGGAGACGGATGGGCTGCGGGGGCGGGGGGATGGGCAGCTGCCGGCCCCACAGAGCCCACCCCAACCGGCCCGTCCAGAGGCGCCGCCTCCCAACGTAGCTTGGCGGCTCCTTTTTGGGAAGCAAACACCTGGGCCGTGGGCGCAAAATCCCTTTCTCTTGACAAGCACGTCTCGGGTTTCAGGTTGCATTTCTGCATCCTTCTGGGGGCTTTTGGGGAAGACGTGCATTGTCTGAGGTGGGGGGCCGGGGGAGGGGCGGGACAGGAGGGCGGGGCCTGGAGGAGACTGTGAGCAGAGGGGAGGGGGGAGCGGAGTGCTTCCCCAGCCATCTCTGCCCCACTGGGGCTGATGTGAGTCCACCCTACCTCCAGAGAAAGACCCTCCTGCCCCAACTGTGCCACGTGCAGGAGCAGGGCCTGGGGCCCTGGGTGGGGGCTGGCGGCTGAGCGCCCTGGGGGACGGGGACGGGAACGAGGTGTGTGTGTGTGTGTGTGTGTGTGTGTGTGTGTGTGTGTGTGTGTGTGTGTTACATTTTGAGAACTAAGGGGCACAGCTCCGCCTGCTCCTCCCGCCCCTGGTAACCCCTCACCGGCAGACCCGCCGCCTGGGTCACTGCAGCTGTGATGCAAGGGGTCAGCTCTCCAAATCTGCTCCAGCCAGCGGCTGCGGGGAGCTGCCATCCGGAGGGGCGGAGGGGCCAGTTCCTGGGGGGGCCCCACAGGTGCCTGCGTGGACCCTGAAGGAGGCCGACTAAAGCTGCGGGCGTGCTAGCCTGGTGCCCCACAGGCACGGCTCCACCCGCCTGGGGGTGGGGCTGGTCGCCTCCCCCCCCTGAAACCCCGAACCCAGACCCTTAGAAAGGGGCTCCAGTAGGCCTCTCCGGCCGCTGCTCTTGGGTGCCACAGGGTGGGCTCCAGCACAAGGGAAGGAAACACTGCCCGCCAGTCCTGCGCGCCAGGGATAGGAAATGCAGAAGTGCTACATCACTTCAGGCAGTGGATCTCACCCTTCCTAATGCCACGACCCTTTCATACACTTCCTCCTGTGCTGGTGACCATGAGTCCGGTGATCCCTGTGAAAGGGTCCTTTGACCCCCGAAGGGGTCACGACCCATAGGTTGAGAATCGCTGACTTAAGGGATTATGGCTGGGAGAGCCATGTTGAGTCTAATTCAGGACGTGAGGCTCCCGGTGTCAGCAGGTTTCAACAGGTCTTCCAGAGGAAGACTAGAAATAAAGGCCTGGCAATCCACTTCCAATAGTGACGTCCACAAAAGTCCTACAGACCACAATATCATCGTCCAGCTCCCTTGCTTTGGACACAAGGTCAGGAGCCACTGGAGACAGCCTGTGTATGAAGTTGAGGCTCAGATGGACAGCCAAGGCTTGGGCACACTTGGGGGACAGAGGGCCTGGCAGTGTTTCCTGCACAGAAGGCCCTCACCACTTGGAGCTGCTTCTTGGAAGGCAACTATCCACCCAACTGTCCTCCCCATCCCAGATGGTATATTTTGATGAACAGACCTTTTATTTTCTTTTAATCATTTTATTAGGGGCTCCTACAACTCTTATCACAATATCTTGTCCTGTCCAACGTCTCTCTTTAACCACTTTTCTGTTGTCCATCCCCCAGGGAGGAGGTCACATGTAGATCCTTGTAATCAGTTCCCCCTTTCCAACCCGCCCTTCCTCCACCCTCCCAGTATCACCACTCACACCACTGGTCCTGAAGGGATCATC